CACACAGGAGGTGACATAGCCAAGATGTCAACAACACCCAAACCCCCAATGACTGGGAAAGGGAAAATAAGGACCTGCCCCCATCATAAGTGTATCAACTTCCTAAGGCATATATTTTCCCCTATCACCCCCATGAAGGTACATTGTTGTCTTTGGTTCCCCAGCTATGCCGACCCACACATGCTGCAAGGGAGGGGAAGGGGCACACGAGGCAGGTGCCTCCTTGAACGCTATTGCCCATCACGATATTCACCCCCAACTCCCATGTCCTCCAAACTCTCTATATTCTCCTCATGCCCAGGATTCTCCTGACATTCCTTTTAGGACCCTGGAATATCCTGAAATAGGGAGACCACCGAGCCCTCCCCTCCTCACATTGCAACTCCCTCCTGTCCTTTAACAGCGTCAGTGGCTGTAGTACTACACAAGATGCATGAATCCCTCACTGAGCTGTCTAGGACAGTATTGAGGGTTCAGGACACTTCTCGTGCCTATGTAAACACCCCTCTGAGAAGAGCAAAGTGACTGATGGGTTAGACCACAAAATGGTGACAGTTTATATCAGTAGACGGGAAACATTAGAGCTTCAGCTGACAGGCATGTGCCCCTTTAAGCATGACCAATAAGACACGTTAAGCTGCCATTCTGGACACCTAACAAAACTCGGAAGGTTCCTGGACACCAGGCTCAAGGGGAGATATGCAAGAGGCTGCCAATGTCACCAGCTTCATACGGCTCAGTGGCGGAACCCATGTGAATTTTCCTTCCCATCAACGTGCAGAGTATGATCAACGGAAGAGTGTAGGAAGCTAATAGAGAAATGCTTGGCCAAAACGCCAACTTCATTCCCACTCTTTGAAACATGAGTGCTCATGACCCTGGGCCACCCTTGGGGTGCATTGTGCAACCCCTTGTGTTCAGCACATTAGCGTAGGAGGACACAGCCTGACCACTGGCCATCACCTGGGTCTCCACTGGATTCAAAATTCTACTTGCTACAGATACTGCCGGTGAAGCCGTCTCGTTCCTGTAGGAATTTACACAAGGCTTTGGAGCCACTGGAGTGGGACGGAGGAGAGAGAGGTCAAGTAAATTGGGAGGCCCTACCAGCAACAGCAGTTCACTTTCATAAGTGTCTGCCAGTGAACCCAGCCCAGTATTAGCAAGAAAGACTAAGTAAGTGGCGAGGTCATCCAAAAGAACAGGATCACCCAGAAACAACCACAGGTACCTCTAAGAAGACTCTCCAAGATTACCCTATGGGGCTACAATATAATAGGGGAAAGGTCGCATTTCTTCAAGCCATTTGTCATAGGCTAAGGCAAAGAACAGCACTAAACTTTCATCAGTCTCTGCTGATGAACACAGCTCATTATCAGCATGAAAGACTCAGTGGTGAGACGATCCAAGAGAGAAATGTTCCTCAGAAACAATCACAGGTGTCTTTAAGTAGACTCCCCCAGATTACCCTATGGGGCTACAATATAAGGGGAAGGGTCACATTTCCTCAAGCCATTTCACATAGGGTAAGGCAGTGAACAGCAGTCCACTTTCATCGGTCTCTTCTACTGAACACACTCACTATCAGCATGCAAGACTCAGTGGTGAGACCATCCAAGGGAGAAATGTCCCCCAGAAACCACCACAGGTGCCTCTCAGAAGACTCCCCCAGATTATTCTACAACGATACCATTTAAAAACACGTTTCTCCAAGCCATTTGCCATAGGATAAGAAAGTGCACCTAATGAGCCAGAAATTACTAAGCCTTCACTAACAGCGAAGTTCAGAATTCTCATTCATAATGTACAGCCAAGTTCTGCCCCCTTAATAAAGTCTCATCTTTGCCCAAGAGCCAGATTTTCCCAAGTCACACTCCACAGTACCTGCTGGTGCAGTGCCAGATATGGGGAAGGGGCTGGAGACACTCCCTTGAACACACAAAGCCTCTGAGAACATCCCCGCCAGAGTCCCTGAGCCTCCACCTCTCCCAGCAGCTCTGCCCAGTGCCACTGTTCCCAGCCCTTTCCCACCTAGAGTCAATAGGCCCCCGATGGAGCAACCATATGCAATGTGTCATTCCATCTTTCCTGATCACAGAAGTCTCTACCCCTGTCTAACCCTCGAATCCCTATAGTTCTTCCCATCAAGAGAAGATAATCAAAGTGGCTGGGGATGCAGCCATGAAATCTATTAGTTCAAGGGGTATTGCCCTGGCTTTTGAGGAGCACTGTCATCAGCACGTAGTTCTACTACTACAAAAACACCCAGTGTGCCCTCTGGATATCCACATGGACCAGAATGAACAGGAGACAGAGGGTGGGGTAATTATTACTTTTTCAGGCAACAAAAGCACTGTTAGAAGGTCTTATAGCTTGTGCTTAATACCACGGGATTCAGAACCATCTGAAGCTGGATCTTATTCCACCTCCTAAAGGATCCTGCCTTTGTTACCATGGCAAGGTTCTGTAATCTTTAATGTACTCTGTAAAATGGGAATAACAGTACATTTAACTCAAGTTTTTAGAGTGTGAGGTGAGAACCCAATGTAAAGAACTCAGCACAGTGCTTGGTTCTAGTGACCTTTCCATCAGTGATAGCCCTGGCTTATTTCTTTTAGCGTCATCACCACTACCATCAACATCATTGTCACAACCATCACCATCATTTCCAGTAGCCCAAGGTGCTTCTCAAAACATCCAGTGCTGTCCCAGTTACATGACTGGACATGCCAAACAGGGAACCAGTCTTACAAGAAATACAAATAGTTGCATTGTACTCAATGCCTAATGCCCATACCTGTGCCTTTGCCTTCTGTTCAAACATAGACACATAGGCACCAAGAAGACAAGAGTTGGTATTTAAGGTGGGAGATCCAGGCCTTCAATTCTCAGGGCTAACATTGTGCCTCTAAAGTAACAAACAGTATCAAAGGCTTTTTTCAAATTTCTCAAGCGGAGACCAGAAATTTACTTCATAAACAGCCATGACAAGGGTCGGAACCTATAAAATACGTACTGCCAGGGAAAAGCCTCACTGCTCATCATGCAAAATGGTCACAGTATGAGTGTAAGTCTACAAATAGGGATTTCAGTGCATTACATTTCATTATATTCTCCTGAAATCGCTCATCTTTGTACATGACCACATAGCAAATGTATAATCTGAAAAGTCATTTCACAACGAGGTGAAAAGTGAGCACATCAGCCCTTACCTATGTTGTACCATTTCATCAAATAGTAGCAAAATCAACTATCTCCCTCTACTTAAATAAGCCACAGAGTTTCAGTCAGAGGCCTTGCCTTGTAGTGGCCAATATAATCCACTCTCTTCTGAGCACTCATATCAGAAACAGCCATGAAAAAGCACTTTAAGGCAAATTGGAGTGTGATGTGAAAGACTGCACACCAAGAATTTACAGCACATTACCATTATGACTAGTGAGTAGACATTCAATGACTACACACCAGAAAAAACTAAGTGACAAGGCTGGCCTAGGAATGAACTCCTCGGAAAGGTCCAGGGAACCAGGTCTCAACTTAAATTCTGAGGAGGTCCACCTTCTCTTTCATCAAAGGCTTGCATCCCTGGGACTGCCACCAATTAGCCTGACACCCTTTTGACATCCGATACCTTGAGAATGCTGCTTCCATGCTATTGCTTAGTATAAGTATCCACCAAGGCATGCATTTCAGTCTTCCCCCAAGGCTTCCCCACTCAAAAGAACATGAAGACCAAAGATGGAGGTGACATTGCAGAAGCAGAGGGCACAACACGTGCATGTGCAACAGGCAGGAAGCATCACAGTTACCTCAAGTTTCACAAGGGCTTTTGACTAAGAAATAAGTCATCCTTGGTCATCATCACAATATTTGGTTAACAAACATGGGTTGGGGTAACGTTTCTCCAAGAATCTCAGGACTCAATTTTACATTGGGTGGAAAATAAAAATGACTCTCATCTTCCAAGGATTAAAAGTAAGTTAACCAATGACAGGGACAAGTCACAAGGGTATGAATGACAACGTACTGAGTAAAGGGTAGACAATTTAGGGTCTCTTCCCAAGGAAATGTGGAACTTGACCTAGGGTGAGTGAACTTCAGGTTGTGTGATGCCACCTTCTCCATGAAACGTGGGCCAATAGAAAACTACAGGACCCAAAAGGACCCATTGAGACTAAAGGTTCAAAGTCAACATAGGAACATCTTAGAATTGTGCATACTTCCAGTTAGCACGTTAATTCCTTCCGTCACCTTGTCAAATGTCTTCACCCGCAGTTCAATGAATAAATCACAACACACAAAAGAAATTACTTTACATAGGCCAAGAAAGAGCAGACACCTCTCTGGCACTGCCAGTTAGCAGGCCCCCTCCAGCCTGCACCATTTACAAATGGTGAAGAGTCCTGATGAGTAGTGAGGCCTGAGCCCTGGCAGCCTCCATGAACAGTGTCTGAGTTGGCCAGAACAGAAAGTTGCTCAGCAGAAGGAAAATCCTGAAGTGCTGGGTTGCCTCTTGCTTCACAGGACGGTTGATGAGTCGGGTTTTCCAGAGAGATTCCGCAGACCCCCTGAGGAAGCTTGCTGGCCCTGGGAAAGAAAACAAACATTTTAATGATATTTTGGAAATATCTAAAAGCTTGTACAGGGGTAGGGGGGCAGTGGTAGGGAGGGCGTTAAACCAGGCACCCTGATGTTCTTCTCCAACATGTGGTGTCAGGAAATGGGATACTAGTTCCCTGGGCACCTCTTTTGGACTCAGGTACTGGAGACTGTGAATGAGACATGATGTGTGCTCCCAAAACTTCTGCAAAGCAAGGAAATGGCCAGGAAGCAAGAAAGGGTGAAGATTAGAAGATGTGCTGACTTATGCATTACTTTGATTGTTACCGTCTGTCTACCACCGGACCGACTACCTTTCTCCACCAGCCAACTTGGCCCCACAGGGTCCCACCCTCCTTCTTTTTAAATAGGTAACATGCTTCTTTACTTCGGCTTTTTTGAACAAGAAATAAAAAGGCATCTGAGCAGCATTTCACATTCCCTCTATTCCTGGAGTTGACTTTTGACCATCCACTCGAGTTCATCCTGCTATTGCCTGTTAGTGGAAAAGATTCCAAATAGGATGAAAACATCAAAACTTTGAAGATAAAATGCCAAGATCGGGTTTTTGATACCATAACATTGTAATAAATTTAACTTGTCTGTGATAGGACACTGACAATGAGCAGATGAACACCACTAATGCCTGGGAAAAGATGTTAGTCTCTAGCAGGGTCTCAATCATGAAGTTAATCAGCAGCACCATGGACAGGCCTTAACACTTAGGGCACTTCCTAGCTTGGAAACCAGGACAGGAGTTTCAACACCTTCCTAAATTATGGTACAGGTGAGACCAGATGGGTGATGCCCTCTGCTCAACACCTGTCACCCCACACTAGAGAAGTTGTTCTTACCTGGCTGGATGCTCTGGACAGTTATTTCCAGTTCCACACTAGTCATGGTACAGGCTCCCATGCTGGCCAGTCACAGACTATTCCACCACAGGACCTGAAGGAGATGGCAATTGTACAGATCTGCAAGACTAGCACCACTGGGGAAACACACATGGCAACTCATAACGTAGGTAGGGGGCTGGAGCACGTGTCCTATTACCCTTATGAAGAAGAGCTGCTGAAAATACCTAGTGGGGACTGAGTACACAGTTATTCAGCCCATGCCAGGTAGGCCAAATTCATGAAAGGCAACGTAACACAGAGATCGCAGGAACTTGCCACAACACCAGGTAACAGTTCAAAGGGAACCACAGGTCATGGTGGAATCAGTCAATAGGAGTAGCCCATCCCACCCAATCCTTGTCCTCCCCAGGCCAGGCCTTCAATACTCATTTCTCTTCACTTAGTGGGCATATAAAAAAATACATGAATCATTTTTTTTCTATGAAAGAACACCTGGAAACGGGACTAACACTACATTTGAAGAAAAACAGTATATTAAATACACCATTGTGCTTCAAAAACAAAACTCTACAACGTGACCTGCAATTGTCATTCACTCCCATATAAGTGAAAGCATTCAATCTGTGACTTTCTTCATTTATAAATGGGAAGTCCTCATGACATTTAAAGGAAACTTATGCAAAAGCCTCGGGACAGAATTGGATTAGATAACGTGATATTGAGCACGCAATCCATGTAGGAAATGAAATTCCCAACAATGTGCAGAGGTGACAGGCGACCAGTACTGTCCGGCATTCTCTGCCGTAAAACAAGTGGCAGCTTAGTCAATGTGTGCGGTTGGAAATCAAAAATGCCACAAAGCTTTCTTCATTTGGGTACATCTATGAAATAAGATAACACAAAGACTAAAACCTCAACCAATCCAGTGATATTAAAACAACTTGATGGTAAAATCAAGTCAAAGTTCAGGATGCCGGCAAACAAAAACTGATTACCCAAGCTTAGGAAAAGGGGCAGGAGCACCTTTAATTGAATACAATGATACAAAACACCCCCTTGTCTAAAGCAAAACTCCACCCTAGGATAACGGCCAGGAAAGGTGGTTAAGAGCATTTACTGTCCTAAATATCAAGCACCCGGCCCATTAATGACGTTCTGCATTTACCAAGCAACCCTGTCCCACAACATTTTCTTTAAAGTACATTTATGGATCCGCTGAGAGAGGGTACAAGAAAAGAAACATAGAGCATATTTATGGAGAGAGAACAACACTAGAATATTTTTAATTATATCACAGAAGAAATTATGATAGAAAACGAAAGGCAATCAATCAATCAGACATTAATTTACTCTCTATCGACACAAAATCTTTTAAAGCCCCTTATGAAGAGCCCCGGGACCAAAAGTTAATTGAATGCGAATCGAGGAGGAACAGGTAAAATTAAATGCCAAACCGAACCCAATTTGTCTGAAAAAAAGCCGCTGATGGGCAGTCATGTGACCTGATTTAAAGCGTCATGTGGTAAGCCAGATGAATCACTTCACAATACGCACACTGAAAATACCTTCGTTTGAGAAATATTTATGAAACAAAGCCAAAAGAAATTTAAGCAAATTCAAATAATTGCCATGTCATGAAAAACAAACCCAAGTCAGTATACCAGAAACTAAATCAATAAATAGGATCCCTGGGGCTTCATTCCCTTAGGGTCTTAAAGATATAAGCTCTTGCCAACCCGACTGCTATTTTCCATATCCTTAAAGTGTCAATACCGTCAAGCATTTTAAGGGGTGCTTCTGGCTGAATACTGTGATATTAAATAGACAAGTGCATTATACAAAAGCGCTTAACACAGTTCAAGGACCACGGCCGGGCGATTCCCTGGGGTTAGTGAACAAGCTGGAAGTCCATTGCCTCATTTCACGTAGAAATATTCAAAACACTTTTTTTTCTTGTGAACACAACATGAAGAAGACCGATTCTGAACTTGAACCGTAACATATTACATTAAACATATAATCATGTTAAATGAGGGACTCAACTGGCAAGTAAGGTAGCTCACTGCGGTCGGCTGTCATAACCCCACCTCAGGAGGTAACTTCCCTCCTTGTCACCTCTACAGGAACAGAAATATGAAAACCGAATGGCGAAAGGTGGCAAAATAAAAACTTTAAAGAAATTAAGTGGTGATAATATCTACCGAAGGACGGTAAAAAATAAAGGCAAACTCAGGTGCCGGGCGACCAGCGGCCACCGTTCGGGGTTGGACCGACAGCGGCTCGTCCACCACATCAGCGTTTCCTCATTTTTAACTTCAAACCACCACAAAACCTTAGGATCCAGAGAAAGGAGGGGTGTCCATGACCAACAGTTAAACAAACAAAATGATCGCAAACACTCATCACGTTGTTCCATCAAGCACAACCCTGGGCCGGACGTGACTAGGGAGCTTCCCTGTCAACAACCCATTGGCCCATCACACACATCCCTTAAAGATGTCACAACACTTCACAAACCCGATTCGATCAAGATCACCACAAAACTCCATAATTAAGAATTAAAACCAAGTAAACTTACATTTTCTGATCCCGGAAGGCGGGTGCTGCCATATTCCCACATATCCTCGGGAAACTGTCCACGGAAGCCCCACAGGACAATCCAGACTTTAAGGGTATCTACCTGGTCACGTGGTACGGATGCCTGGACACCCAGTCTCAGGCACCGCCTACAAACAACGTCATTGGAGGGTCTGAAGTGATTGACAAGGAACCCAACATTGAGCTCCAGGTTTACAAGGGAAAACTCAACCAATACCTAAAGGCCCAGCTAAATAACGCAGGCCTTTCTCATACTGTAGCTTATATAACTGTGCTCATCTCTCCATATCCAGGTCTACTACCCAGGCCTCTATACATACCATGTCCCCTGTTTCCTGGCATTTCTGATTTTGGAAATCTGGCTCACCCAGTTTGTCTAGGCCCACCTCAATTGCCCTCTCCTCCAGGAAGCCATCCATGCTTGTACTCCTTGGCCTGACAGGTAGAAGGAGCTGTTCTTTGCTTTTAAGTGGGCACATGGAGAGATTTAGAGGGTGGGAGGAAGAAGAATTATATGGTCCTTGGGATCTGAAAGCAGTGGGCTGAGCAAGATATCAGGGACCCAAGGTTTGTCTTTGCGATTTTATCAATGTAGTTGAGGTTTCCATAATTGTGCTATGGCCAGGGGAAGCCATCCACAGGTAAATCATAGCAGCCTCCCAGGATTAATCGCAACACTGAACGCAAACAACTCTCCTGGATTTCATGCCTTTCCCTGTCTTTCTCTCTCTCAATATTTTGTCCCACCCTTCCAGCTTCAGGCATCAGCTGTCTCTCCTCTGACAAACATGACTGACTTCATGTTTCCATGCACAAACACTAGAAGACTGATTTCTTCTGTTGTGGGATGAATGATTAAGTGGTTCCAGATCTCATTTGCCAAGGTCACTGGCTTCTTGAGTACTGGAGGCAGGACTGGACCCTGCCCCTTTTCAAGAGGCCATCTGCTGAGCTGCTCTCAAAATGCGAGTCAGTATAAACAGAAAAGTCCAACTCTCACCAAGGGTTGACTAAATTTCAGTTGTGAATTCATCTTTGCCAAAGGTGGAAGGTGAAACACACAGTCACTGGGTCATGGTAGTTGGACCTTGAGAGGCTTGGGCAGCACTACCGGGAATGGCACTCTAATGACATAACTGTCCCATCTGCAGAAAAGATTATTTTGAGTGGGAAAGGTGAAGCTGCACGGCGTGCATATGCAATAGTTCACGATGTTGCCCTACCCAGCCTGGACTCTGAAAACCAACACTAGCTGGGAAAGATGGACTCACTGTCCTCCAAGTACAAGTCGGAAGAAACAGCAGAATCAGATTGGTTAAAATCACTTCCCAACTATGCTTTAGGAAGCTAACACAATGCACACAGATACTCGATTGTTGTGTATTGCCACATACATGGGGGTAATGATTCAGCTGTCTGTCTCTGGTATCTTAGCTCCCTAAACCATTGTTTGGAAGTGACTAGAGGCTGGTGTAGTGGGAGGAATAAGGAGAGATGTTGTTCAAAGGCTAGAAAATTCCAGTGTGACAGAGAGCATTGGATTTTGAGATCTTTTCCAAAAAAAGTAGTATGTGAAGGAAGGGTTATTTCAATTTACTTGATGTAATCATTCTACAAAATGTAATATATCAAATCATCACATTTTGCCCAATAAATATATACAATTATTATATATGATTTCTTTTAAAAGGAGAGAACCATTTTCCCTTAGAGGTAACTTATCCTCTATAGTCTTGCTGCTCATTTAGAAGCTCAGAGAATGTTTATTAGTGAGCTTTTCCAGACATGGGGGTTGGGGATAAGACTCTGGCAAAGATCCAGAGGGGCAGGGAGTTGTTCTACACTTTGTCCAGCAATCAGTGAAGGGATGAATCTGGGAACTTAAGCAGCATGGGATGGGAAGTGAAGAAAGAACTAGGCCTTTGGTGTGATTCCCACGCCCAGGAATTCCCACCTCATTGCTCACCTGTTGCTGAGGCCTTTCCCTCCGGCTGCACTCTGCAGCTGGAAACATGGCTGGCCTCTCTTGATGCCAGGACACTGCCCAGGCCCTGTCTCTCAGTGCACTTGTGTCTCCACAGTCTATGCTCACAGGTCACACTGTTCCCATCCATACTTCATCTCATGTCCATAGGCTGTCCCGAAAAAATTATCTATGACTTCTTATCCACCTTGCACCACAGAGAGTGGTTAAGTGTATGGGTTCCACGTAGGCTGCTTGCATTCATGTCACAGCTCTTCCTCCTACCACTTGTGTATTTTTCAGGGTGGTTTTTCTTCTCTGTTTCCTTTTCAGTAAAGTCATGGTACAGTCTCTCAGTCTGTTCAGGCTGTTTTAAAAAAATATCTTACACTGGGTAATTCAGAAAAGACAGACGTTTATTGGTCACAGTTCTGGAGCCTGGGAAGTCCAAGAGCAAGGCACCAGCAGGTTTGCTGTCTCACGAGGGCCTCTTCCTTCTTCATGTCAGCCTTTGTGTTTCCACACATATTGTAAGGGGAAAGAAGGCTCCCACAGGTCTCTTTTTATAAGGGAGGCCACTAGTCCCATTCATGAGGGTAGAGCCTTCGTCACCTAATCACCTCCCAAAGGCCCTACCTCTTAATACCTTCACCATGGGGACTAACTTGCATCATAAAAATTGTGGGGGTACACCAACATTGAAATCACAGCAGAGACCAATAAGAACTATGTTGTTGGACTGCCATGACATTCAGCAACTGCAATAAGTCCTGGAAAGTATTAAACTGTCCTGTAAAGGTAGCTGTGATTGTTTTTGTAACATTTTGCTGCATGTCTCTGGTGAAATATCATCTCCTTCCTTGAGCTGTTCTGTGCCATTCCAGTCTGTATTTGTCTCCTTTTACTAATTCCTTTTGGCCGAAACATTCATAACACACAAACCCACCTCGTACAACACATTGTCCACTTTGCCAATAGTTTGCATCTCGACTTTGTCACTTTCTTCTGTGCTAATATCTCTGTGTTAATCAACATGTTAAGTCTGATCCTAATTCTTCATGTATGCATCTCATCTCCTAAGTTTACTACCGTTTTCCCTCTGGGCACTGTTATGGTTGGTGTATTTGTCTCCTCTAATACTCATGTTGAAATTTAGCCCCGAAAGGTGCAGTATTGAGGGAATATTTACGTTCTGATTGGATCTTGAGGCCCAGCCCTCATGAGTAGGTCGATCCATTCACAGATTAATGAGTTCTTATGAAAGGGGAACTGGTGGCTTCATGTAAAGTAAAAGAGAGCCTGCACTAGCACATGGCATGCTCAGCCCCCTGCATGTGTTGTCGTCTGTGCTGTCTTGGGAATCTGCCGAGAGTACTGAACAGGGAAAGGACTCTCAGCAGATGTGGCCCTTTAACCTTGGATGTCCTGGTCTCCTCAGCTGTAAGAAAGAAATTTCTTTACTTTCTACATTACCCAATTTCAGGGGCTCTGTTATAAGGAACAGAAAAGAGACTCATACTGGCACCTCACCAGCTTATTCCTTTCTGATATATATAATTTAGCTGAATGCAGGGCAGTATACATCTGGCAATTCCATAAGTACATAAGCAGGTGCTGAGATAGTAGCATTCACTGGGACATCACAAGAAATATCTTTCCCTGAGGAATTCATGAGGAACCTTGTTCACTCATTGGTTTTGCCAGATCAGGCAGAATGTGGGTGGGCTCTTGTAGCATGGTTACACTTCCTGTGCCCAGGCTTTCCGAAAAGGATGAGCAAGGCTGAAATATGCCTGACGTGGGAGTTGACAGAGTAAAGAAGGAGAAAGGGAAGTGTTTTACAGGATCAGGGGTGTGAAACAACATGACCTCTCAGGGAACAGTGCACGGGCGGGCTTTAGTGGAGAAGAGTGAATGCGGTAGGTGGCGAAAGATGAGTGGGGAGCAGCAGTGCAGAGGAGACAAACCTGGGGGGATGCTATATACCTGGAGACTTTTTCAGAGTTTAAGGCCTTGAATAACAACATCTACTATGCATTTGAAATCTGTCATTTGGGTGTCTGTGCAGAACAAATTGAACTAGAGAATCACTGGGTAAAAAAAGAGGGCATTTAGTTACATACAGGATGTCAGAGCCCAGGTGGATGGTAATGAATGCTGATATTCCTAAAGCACAGTGAATGCAAAACATCCAACCACCTTAGCACATGGCATGGCATGGCATGGCATGCGGTTACTGTGCAGTAGCTGCTGTGGGAAGTGAGGAAGGATAAAGTGTCACGGGCTACTGCAAGTGTGCTGATGCTGCTGCCTGAAGGAATGGTGGTCCCACCGATGGACGGAAGGGACTAAGGGGCAGAACGGTTTAGCGCAGAAGAGAGGGAAAAGTAAGGAATCAGGTTGCAATGTATTGGAGGTATTAATGAGATTCTTAAAAGAGGATGGAGACCAATTGAGTGGAAACAGTATGAGGACTTGAGAGGAGAAGCAACACCTAGAGCTAAAGATCTCAAAGTTCTTTACTGTTTGTTCATTTGTTTGTTTGTTTGTTTAATCCTGCTCCTGGGATTGAAGGAATCAGGAAGTTTTTGCACAAAGGTCAGCGTGGGAGTGAGGTGCTGAAGTGGATGAGATTTCATAAAGATAGCAAATGGGCTGTGCAGCAAGACAGCCTGAACCCTAAGGAAGACGTCTTGTGCTCACAAGACGGGAGCCATAAAGAATCAGGGGTAGAAAAGCTAAGACCCAGAAGAGCATGTCTGTGTGTAGGGGGGTGTGTATCTGCTATGCCAGGATTATTACAGCATCCCGGTGCTAGTGCTATCATCTCTCTGGTTCTCAAACCAGTCCCTCCTAAACCTAAAAGCATCTCTGTGCCACATGTGTCTGTTAGCTCAGAGATGCACGTCTTGCCTGTTGGTCAGAAAAAGAAAAGTGCCCACTATAGCAACCGTCATAGACCTGCTGGATGATTCATCAAGTGCCCTGGGGGCTGTCCCCAGTAACAGACCCCTGATGCCCTGACCTCATCCAGAGCCTTCCCTCTGACCCATGTGGCTTCCTCTTCCTCCTCCTTACATCACTGGTCTCGGTAACACTGTCAGACCCCTTGCTTCCCCATGCTCCTCAGCACCCATCCTGGCTGCCTCTCCTCCCATGATGCTCTAGTCTGTCAAGCCAGCTGCTCTGGCTGATGGGCTCTGAGGGAAGACAGATCCATGGGGGGACATGGACCCATCCCTACCCTTCCTGCACTGTGGAATGAGTGTCTGAGATGCTCAGCATTTGGGGCCCTAAAGTTTTCCATCTAGAGTCTGTTCTCTGGTACTGGATCTTCTCAGACAAAATGTATTAGATAGTTTTAAGGTTTTAACATCATAGTCAAGATGTCCTTACAAATCTGTGACAATTTTAAATACTCTTTTCAAATGTGAGACAATTTCTGTTTCTTCTTGAACTGGGTACAATGCAGTGTTAAATGTTTTCTTTACATTTTAAAATCTATGAGAAAATAAGTAATACATCATGATCGTCATGACGGTTAATTTCATGTGTCAAAATGATTGTTCCAGGATGCCCAGACATTTGGTCAGACACTTTTCTCCATTTTTCTGTGTGGGTGCGTGTGGATGCGGTTGGCATTGGAATTGATAAACTGAGTAACTTAGATTGTACTCTCAAATGCGGACAGGCCCCCACCAACCAACTGAAGGCCCAAACAGAACACAAAGGATGACCCAGAGGGCATAAGTGGGAATTTCCCCCTGCCTGACTTTCTTGAGGTGTGACATTGGTTTTTTCCTGCCTTTGGACTCCAGCTGCAACATCAGGTCTTTGTGAGCCTTGAGCCTGCAGACCTTGGGACTAGAACTACACCATCGGCTATCCTTGATTTCAGGTCTTACTTTCCAGACTGGAACTACATCCTAGGTTCACCTGGGCCTCCAGTTTGCTGACTGCAGTTCTTGGGGCTTGTCAGCCTCCAGAATCCTGTGAGCCAAGTCCTCATCATAAACACACACTCACACACACAACACACACACATGCGGTATTCTGTTTCTCTGGAGATCCCTGACTAATATAGATCTTGGATTTATATTTCTTTCAGAACAGGGAAGCAGCTTTTTATTTTTGTCCCCAAAATTTAGTTGACTGTTGTGTATACAATGATGAGATGAAAGCATATTTTGATTACTAAAACAATTAGCTAGAACAAAGAAAATTCTCAGGCTGTACAGTAAAAAATCACACAAAAAAACCCCAAAAAAACATATCCTGGATGAATGGAAAAATTATAGGGTTAGAAATAACACTAGGCAGCCAAAGGTGGCTGACTTCACATTTCAGCTGTTGGATGGATCAGGAGACGGTATGGAAGGCTGGTAAACGCATCACTGCTGCACCACCAGGGGACTTGGATGCAGTGTTCAGCATTGTGTGGCTACTTCATCTCCCCCAGGAAAGGGCAGCACATCTGTTTGACCAGTATAACGTGGATCAGTTCACATCTCTGAAGACTGAAGGATATGAAGGTCAGGTCTTAGTAACAAAACACGGTGACTTGTGTAATAGCAGATTTTTACATCCACAAAACCAAATTTCCATGAAGTTGGATCACTTCCAGAAAGAAGCCAGTGATCTCCAGGTAAAAGTAGACAGGGGTCTGAAGTCTTGGAGAGAATCCTAAGACAGTTGTTTAAGCACCTATGTGAAAAATCACCATTTCAAAGTCTTCTGCAGTGTTTGTGCTAAAATGATAGAAAGGCAACAGACTACTATCGCGTGTATTGACAGCCGCCAGAGTGAGCCTAAAAACCTCTTGCATGGCCACTGGGAAGTGCAGTGGAAGTTCACCAGCACTCCTCCTCCAGCTCAGAGGGTCAGGGCCTGAAGATTCAGCTTCATCACGACAAAGATGGCCAAATTTAGCTGGTCAGTCATAAAGTTGTACCCGATTCAACAGCTGTGTCAAATCACGTCCCACCTGCCAATGAGTTTATTAAAATCACAAAGCACGGAGAAACGAGAATCAGGCAGCAACTAGTGAAAACAGTCAATGTCAGACACCACAATCAAGGCTCTTTGCCAGCAGATTCCACTTACCCACTGCAAAAGTGACTGCAACAGACACTGGGCTACAGGATTGACAAAGAAGGGCAGAATGCTTACAGTTCGATCATAGCATTCTTTAGTACATGGAAAGCAAAGGATTCAACGTACGGATGGAACGATAAACAAGTGATGTATAAACAAGAGTGCCATGTTGCTGGGGCTCTCACAGTTACCAGGTTTTCTATTGTCACAGAATTTAGCATCCTTCTGATTCTTTTGTGTTCTCTGCCTTGCAGTTTTCAGTTTTCACTGTATCTACCTCGAAATCTTTATTTTTATTTTCATTTATTTTTGAGACAGAGTCTCACTTTGTTGCCCAGGCTAGAGTGAGTGCCGTGGCGTCAGCCTAGCTCACAGCAACCTCAAACTCCTGGGCTCAAGCGATCCTCCTGCCTCAGCCCCCCAAGTAGCTGGGACTACAGGCATGAGCCACCATGCCCGGCTAATTTTTTCTATATATATTAGTTGGCCAATTCATTTCTTTCTATTTAAAGTAGAGACATTGTCTCGCTCTTGCTCAGGCTGGTTTCGAGCTCCTGACCTCCAGCAATCCACCCGCCTCGGCCTCCCACAGTGCTCGGATTACAGGCTTGAGCCACCACGCCCGGCCTACCTCGAAATCTGTAAAAAATGTTTGCCATCTTTAATGTGGAAGAGAAAGATCTATCCTGGAGTCATTTTACTGCTTAGAAAACTTTCTAAGCCATATGCCCTGTCACTGATATAGACAGATAATATGTTCAGGACTTTCTATCTCTACCCTTCAAAGCACTTCAGTGGTTTCCACTACTCCACCAGCAGCTAGAGAGGCGATGCTACAAACTATACCTAAATAGAAGACACAGTCATTCTCCTCCCTCCTACTGTTTAATGATCATCCTTGATAGCAGGTCATAAGTGTAGTATTCAGAGGACTGAATTGGGGTCTCTCAGGTCCTTTTTGGGAGGGCAAAGGAACTTTTCTGGAAATTCCATCATACCCAGCTTCTCTAAGGAAGTATTTTTTCAATGCAGAGTTGAACTATGTTCCCTCTGTATGGACGTATTCGCTGCTTTCCCCTTCTCTCATTGTCTCCTTCCCATCTAGTAATATTGTTCTTAGAGATATCTGCATTTCTCTAAGAGTTTTACTCGTTTTGCTAAAATATTTTTACTTTATTTTTATTCTGGAGACACGGCCTTGCTCTGTCGCCCCAGGTAAAGTGCAGCGGTGCCATCACAGCTCACTGCAACGCAAACTCCTGGGGTCAAGCGATCCTCCTGCCTCAGCCTCCCGAGCTAACACCTGTTGCTGGGAATACAGGTGAGCGCCACCAGGTCCAGCTAATTTTTCTGTTTTTTTGTAGAGACAGGGTATCGCTCTTGCTCAGGCTGGTCTCAAACTCCTGGCCTAAAGCGACTGTCCCACCTGAGCCTCCCAGAGTGCTAGGATTACAGGTGTGAGCCATCCCGCCCGGCCCCATTTTCTTAAAATAGTCAGGAACTTCTGATATACGATGTATGCGGCACAGGTACAGTATAAGCCTTGAAACAATGCAGATGTTCAAGAAATAATAGGCATCCTGTTCTTTAATACTTTGTGGCAGGATTGTAATAGAAGCAAATTAATCAAATAAATACATGGATCACAAACAGAAAATATATATAATAAATTAAGAGATTTCTTAACACTTAAGCCTCCTCACATTAACCATTCTTGGTGCACTATCTTTGCATACGTTGATCAAGATTATGGTTGTTAATATTTGGAGCTTTTCTAGTAATGATGAAAAGCATCCGCATCTGCAGCCAGGGAGCCAATAACCCAGCTGAGAGATGCAGGAGGAGGAAAATGTGTTCACAGAACCTCACTCAAGTGGCATCCAAAGCCTAGGGTCCGCAAAGGAACACGCAAGGGGCGAGGAGTGAGAGGCAGGGCAGGAGGCCTCCTCCACTCCCAGAACAGGGAGCCTCTGCTCTCCGCAGGCAGCCGGCTCCGCCTCCCCATACGCCGCCAGGTGTCCTGGGCTCCTCCCCTGGTCCCCGCCCCTGGTCCCCGGCCCTCACTCGCGTCGCCTAGGGAATCCTCGGCCCCGCCCCCTGATTGTGGCCCCGCCTCCTCGAGGGCGTGAGGCCCGCCCCACAAGCTCCCCCACCCCCTGCAACCCGTGTGCTCCCTGTGACGCACCTGCGCACTAGCGACCACTGGCCTTGTGGGCGGGGCCCGCTCCGCGCCTGGGCCCTGCTTAATGGCTCCGCCCACCGCCCGCCCCCGGCCCCCCCCCCCCGGGGCTGGGCCCGCCTCCGCGGACAGGCACTTCCGCTGACGCCTGGGCGCTCACCCCTGCGCGGCCCAGCGGAGCTCAGCGGAGCTCAGCAGAGCGAGTGCGGCGCGATGGATCGGGCGCAGGTGATAAAGGTCCTCCTGGCCCGGCCTTTCCGGGCCGACGCGCGTCGGTGGAGGAACCCGATTCCCTTTCCCGAGACGTTTGACGGCGATACCGACCGGCTCCCGGAGTTCATCGTGCAGACGGGCTCCTACATGTTAGTGGACGAGAAGACGTTCTCCAGCGACGCCCTGAAGGTGACGTTCCTCATCACCCGCCTCACGGGGCCCGCCCTGCAGTGGGTGATACCCTACATCAAGAAGAACAGCCCCCTCCTCAACAATTACCGGGGCTTTCTGGCCGAGATGAAGCGGGTCTTTGGATGGGAGGAGGACGAGGACTTCTAGGCCGGGACACCCTCGGGCCTGGGGGCGGGTGCTCTGGGGAGGGTCCTCTGTGCCAGTTGCTGCCTCCAGGGTCGCCAGCGGCGCCCTTCTGTGTTGCCTCCCTCTCCCTACCTCCAGATCCGGAGATCTTCCTGAGCTCCAGTCCCCTGTGGCGTTGTACTTGCCTTTGTTCGAGGAAAAGCGCTCCAGGCTGGTGCTGCTTCCTCTGGGCCTCACTCTGGAGAGCGCCGCCGCCCTCTCCTGCCAGCCCAGCCCCTCCCATGCACATTTGGACAGTTGTCCCGTGCTCCAGCTGCAAGCTGGGCTCCCGTTACACACTGGACAGACCACCAGCAGCCGGTCGCTGCGCACCGCCCCCCTGCCACACTGCCAGATACTTCATCATTCTGCTCACACACCTGTGCTGCACTGCCATCACCGTTGCCATTCACTGCATCCCACCACCAGACTGCTGCTCTTAGTGATCTGGACTCACCTCGGAGTTCTCTGAACTGGCCACAGCCTTTGGACAATGATTCAGACAGCTGGCCATCCTTTGTGTTCCTGCCAGATGGCTTCCAGGGCCCTGGTGTGCCTGGTGGCCAAATCCAGTCACTTATTTTTCCTCTGGACCAGTTAGTTTTTCTCAGAATCCATTTCTCTTCTGAATTTGCGCAGCTGTCTACTGATGTGTGCCTTTTGTTTAACACTAGAACCCTGCGGTCTGCCCTGGTCTCTGTACTACCTGTATAAAGTCTTTTCTTAATTTCAATAAATGTCAGGCAGTATTGAAAAAGAATTTAGTCTCAGTGCACGTGGCACCTTTCCTCCCTGGTCTGTGACTGGGATTCATATCTTGTTCTCAAGCTATGTGCCCTGTATTCAGGGCTGGTGTTTACTTGCATATAAGACAAATTTTTTTTCGTGGTAGTCCTGGGGGATGGGAGACCTTACTGGCAACCATGCATGCAAATGGAGGATCTTCTCCAACACTCACTTTCATGCCCTTGAAAGTAGATCTTGATCTGATTTGCCAAGCGCCATCTGAAAGGAGCCATGGAATAACTCCATAAAGATTTCTCTATATTAAAAAATATGGCTTTAAGCGCCAAATCTCCATATTTAACAAGCCATAAATCTCACATTTTGGTGAACACCTGTCATGTTTATCTAACTCATGTATTTAGGGTCCCAGGGCAGAATGGTTAGTGCTTTGAATGGCATTACATGTATATTGCCTCAAATTTTTAGGTAACGACTAAGTAATGCAGGACTGTTTTATTTAGGTTAGAACTTGGTTGATGCCCTGAAGTTAAATAAAATTGTATAACTTCTTTAATGGGCAGAATAAATTATCACTCGATTATTTAGGTTAGCTTATAAATGTTTTTGATTAAAAAGCTTTTTTGCTGTTCCTCATTTTGATCTAATAAAGTTAAATATCCCAGTTGAGTCAGATGATCTGCAGTTGGTTTTTAGAACAATACTCTGATGGATATTTAAAGTTATATAGGTTTTGAGAGAACAAGCTAATAAGGTAATATATATATCCCATTGTATATTATAAGTAATTGTCTCATGATTAGAGGCTGAGCAGTCCCATGTTTTTAGCAACTGGATACCCAGAAAGTGGATATGTTTTCCAGTCTGAGTAAAGTCTGAGAATCAGCGTGAGCCAATGGTGTATGTTCCAGTCTGAAAGACAGTAGACTTGAACCAGAAGATCTGATGTTTCAGTCAGTCTGAAATTAGGAAAGCCAATGTTCCAGCTCAAAGCAAGTCAGGTAGAAGAGTTCCTTTACTCAGGGGGATAAGTATTTTTGTTTCTATTCAGCCTTCAACTAATGGATGAGCTCAACCAATGGGAAGGTAGTCTGCTTACTCAGTCTATTGATTCAATGTTATCAGCCCAAACACCCTCACAGACACCATAATAATGTTTGACAAGTATCTGGCACCCCCCATGGTTTCATTCTAGTTGCCACAAATTATCATCAGAGTTGCGCATTCATTGCCTCCTTTCTATGTTTGGAGTGATTTTCTAGAACATGATTAGAGGATATGAATCACACCTGTGTTTCATCATTTTTTTTCTCTATCTCCATTTGACAGTTTTGTTCATTTATTATTGCTGTGGTTTGCAGGGTCGTATATGGAGCTGAAAGTATTATCCGCATTATGATTGTGATAATGCATTGTTCTCCAATTAAAGAAACATTAGCTCATTTGCTTGTAATAGGTAAATCTTCTTTAAACTACAGAATATTTGAGTTACTAATAAAATAAGTTTTTAGAATTTACAGGACTCTTGAAAGCAACTGGAACCAGGCTGATTATGAGGGCCAATTCAAGTGTTAGAATGGCAGTCTCCTGGACAGGTATGAAGACAATCGTGTTAACATATTCACTGTATATTCTGCTGAAGTGGGTTGAAGTGTTTGGAAGCAGTTTACATTACTGTGTAGGTCAGATTATTCGCTGTTTTATTGGCTCTGGAGTAAATCCTCCC